AAGATACGCAAAAGACCTGCTATTAGCTTAGTCTATAAGTTAGAACTCCTGAAGTTGTATTCAAAAGATTACACTAATAATTTTCCCAACAGAAATCCATAACGGCCTATGTTTTACGATTTGCTTATATAACCATTTACTTTGGTATTCGAAAGATGAACATAATATTTCATTAAATCCACAACAGTTTTTAAGTATTGTTACGTCTCTGTGTTCGTTTGTTAATTTTCCGTAGAAATTCTTTCCGATAAACTTCAGCGATACAAGTTCTTTCTTAAATAAAACTAGTTTATTCTTTCTCAACTCAACTTTGTAATACACTTAATTTCCACAGTCACGTTAACTTAAACACACGCTATAATTCACAAAGATTCACGCACTTTACTTACGGTCACTACCGCGCTTGACTCAATTGTCTGTCTCTGTCTGTCTGCAATTCTATTCTGATTAATACATTTCGCTTTATCTAGCGCACTTATATACAAGAATAGAGGGTGCGTAGAAAAGACCAGAGTTGCCACGAACAGACATGATCCTTCTAGAATATCATGACGTGTTACTAGCGTCACATGACTTCCGCTGTTGTAACAGTATATTGTAATCCGTAAAATCCTAGAAAATGTATGTTAGACAAAGAACCGTCAGAATAAATTTAATGATTTTTTTGTTTAACTTTAACACTGTAATAGAGCCAATGAGAATGAATTCGGGGATTGGATGGGCTACAGAAGGTTGTCACGGTTTTCAATATTCAAGTTAGACTAAAAAAAGTACGTTGATGAAGGTATCGATATGTTAATCTAAATATATATATATATATAACAAAACGCTTTACTGCCAAAAATAACCCAACTCTTAATAGTTATTGGCCATGAAGTTGCGGAGTTTAGAAAATTGACTGGACACAAAATAATAGAAGTGTTCGTTTCTGGCAGACACCGCACCTTACAAAGGCAAATACCACAAGTTTCTTTGAGCATTCCTTCGACCATCTCTATTGATAGAACTTGCAAAAACCCGAGAGTGGGGGAGAGAAAATGTTTTTTCAGACTGGATTTTGTTTGTTTTTGAATTTCGCGCAAAGCTACATGAGGGCTATCTGTGCAAGCCGTCCCTAATTTAGCAGTATAAGGCTAGAGGGAAGGCAGCTAGTCATCACCACCCACCGCCAACTCTTGGGCTATCTTTTACCAATGAATAGTGGGAATGAACGTCACATTATAACGCCCTCACGGCTGAAAGGGCGAGCATGTTTGGTGTGACGGGGATTCGAACCCGCGACCCTCAAATTGCGAGTCGAGCGCCCTAACCACCTGGCCATGCCGGACCTTTCAGACTGGAATAACCATATCTTGTATTGCACAATATGTGCGACCATTACAATGTTTTGTGTGGGAAATTGGAGGGGTGTATGGGCTTTACTCCCTCATAGACTAAAAACTAATGCGAATTCGGTCACACTGGTGACCAATTCCAATTTCGGATATTTCAGGGAGTTGAAATCTCTATGCAGGATTTAAAAAAGGAGTATCGGAAAGCTTAATTTGTGAATTTACCCCTCTGAAATGTCTCCATGACTTGTAGACTGGGTGTTACAAATACATAATTTACTATTCTAAAAGCGTGCTGATAACGTCAAAAAGAAAATAGTTTATAGAATTGCAGTTTCTATCTAAAATATAACAATACATATACACACATATATATACATACAAACTTAATTTATATTTTGATTCCTAGATGATATGGTGTAGCTGGATTGTTATTTCAGAAACATTATGCCAACTGAACATCGTCTTTAGAAAAGCTTAAGATGAAAAAAAGAGAAAATTACCAACTTGCACTGATAATTCCCTATTAGATTGCATATTGAAACTATATACTTGTATAAAATTTACCGTTCATCTGTCTAACTAACAGTGTTGTGATATTTCCTTTCTGATTTATACAATGTACTTCTTGCCCAAAGTACGGAGTTTTGTTGTTGTTTTTTTTTTTCGGTAAAGAACCCAACTCTGGAACCTCGGATCCATAATCCAGCACGCTAACTTTTGCGGCATGCTCGCCCCACCCTGAGCCGTGGATGCATTATAAAAGCGACGGTCTAATCCCACGGATGTTGGTGGTGGGTGATGTTCACTAGATGACTTCCCTTTAGTCTATCACTCCAGCAGATAGTCCACGAGTAGCTCTGAGCGAAATTCAACATTTTCCAGTGGTATTGATAATGAAGCATAAAAATGTTTTGTTTCTGTTAGAGATATAGATGGTTGGAATATTGCTATTATCTGAAATTACATTCTTTTTTTAAACCATTGCTCATAAAATAACAAAGCATTCCTTATAATTAATTAAAAGTTCAAAATATTATTTACGAAATATTGCATTTTTTACTTTCCAACCTAGAAGCAAATTTCTCACAACAAAACGTTATTTCTTTAGTAGACTTCAGTTCTAACTTATGGGTGAAATGATCGCGAACTGTTGATAAAAGAAGCAAATACTGTGTGGTCGAATTATTTTTCATGCACCGATAGATGTTAAGATTAGTATGAAAGTTACAATATTAAGGTAACTCATTATTATTATTAAAACGAATATTACTAAGAGGCATCAACAGTTAGATATTTACGTTTGTTATAAAATCGCCTCTGTTAAATATTACAGGAATTATTTTGATCTTATAAACTCCTGGTAAGTTCAACTACTAGAATTTTATTGAAGATCAAATGTTTCTGAAGTTGTATGCTCAAACTACCGGGGATTTTGTCTCTAAAAACAAGCAATTAATAATTTAGTGTATTTTAATGTTCAGATTAATTAGTACTTGCTCTAGAAAATAATTTATCCTTACAAAGGCTTATTCGCAAATACAATTGGCGTGTCAAGTGAAGATGAGAGCTATGGTGATATGTTTAGTATTTATATAAGTTTGGTTCACGGCAAAATTTTCAACATTCAAGAGGCAATGCCTCTATGGCTAGAGGAGTATATTCATATAATGACATTGTTAAACAATGTAAAGCCAAAGAACACAGTATTTTGATCCTAGTCTTCAATTTTTTTTTCCTATGAAAACTGAAAAACTTGCACAGCAGCGCATTTAGAACAACAGTAGGTCCCAAAAACATGTACGAACTAATGTTGTTGAATGCTTCTTTAGAAGGTTTGTCAATATGTGTGGACTAAAATAGACCTTGCCGTCTTTCGTAGAATCTTATTGTAAACGAGGCGTCAGGAAATAATGCAGTAAGTAGTTCCAAGGGCGCAAAGGAACCTGAAATATTGTTCTTATAAAGTGTAAATAATTCTCAATATTGATATAGAAACGCATTAAGAAAATACGCCTTAAGAATATAGTGCATATTACAGGTTTTTTATTGGTAAAAAAATTTTTTTTTGAAAGACATAAAGTAAGATCTAATTTTAAAGCTTTGTTAGTCCCTTAGATAGTATTACACAACAGAAAAATCTTGGAACTATTAAATTTTTTGTGAATTCCATGTACTTTCCCTTACTGATCAAAAGCAATAATACAATTACTTTATTGAACTTTGATGCATAAAATTTTGCAATTAGGACTAAGTTATACATCCATTACACAATATTAACACTGGTGAACATCCTTAGCATCTTTAGGAGGAAACTTCAGAATAAAGGTATTAAAATTCACAGCATTCTCTCATGTGTGAAAACTAAGTTAATTATTGGTGGAGCACTATAAAGCTTTTCTGTAGAATTGTGCATGTGAAAATTAATTCAGAATATCGTTATTTTTATGAAACTGTTCACTATGAAATTACTTTATTACAGAGTTTATAAAGTAATTGCTATAAATTAAAATAGTAAATTTCCAGAATGGTGTGAGATAATGCCAAGAAATTTGAGATTACAACTCAAAACACTATGAAATTTCTTGGCATGTGTTTATAGACTTAAGCCCATACAGTGTGTTTTAGCAAGATGTTATCATCAAATCTTTTTTTCTTTATTTATACTTTTGTTTTTATTGTAAAAATGAAATTACACTTAACAATAACAGTATTCTTATGTAATACAGTGATATGTTCCTTTTGGATACTTTGTAACCTCATGAGAAACAGGTTATTGTTGTCATATCAATAATTATTATGCTACAAGTGAAAAGAAAAGAAACACAAATGAAGCTAATGACTTCTCACATATGCATTGTATATTTATATATATATATATATTTAGTTTGCTTCATTCAGATTAATACAGTAAACCTTTATATTTAAAACATATATATATGTGCCTAAGTAAAATAATATAAATTCAGTGATATTAATGACATAAGTATTATCCACAGGCATTATTCTCTGATGTAGTGCTTGACTATAAACACTGATAATGAAGATCTTTATAGAAGCTTTAAGTTATATTTTGTTACACCAAAGTGAGTAAGAGTCAAATTCATGGTAGGTTCAAGTGTCATAGTCAGAATTCAAAATGATTGGATAAGAAAAGTATTGGTTATTTTATGAAAATCCTAGTAAACATTACTGTGCACACTTACCAATGAGTATAAATCATTGTTATCCTTGTGCACACTTTGAATTATGTTGCTAGTGTGAAATTGGATGTAGATCTTGGAGGAATCACAATTTCTTATAAAAAAAAATACCTGTTTTTAACACATGGATTACATGAAATTAAATCATTTGTTCTGATAGATTATAAGTGAGTTAGGTGTTACAGTTTCATTATTTAATTTCTCCAATAGTTCATGATGTTCTATTTCTCAAGATATCAGTTAGTTATTAGTAAGTATCAAAAGAAGTCACATAAAAATCCATTACCTAATAGTATAAACAAATTTATGATTTATTATAGTGTACACATACTGGGAATAACAAAATTTATAAAACAAGAGGCAATGCAGTGTTCTGTTCAAAATAAAAACTCATCAGCATATATATGTATATAATTAGAAATAGTTTTTAAGTTATTAATTTTGCAAAAATCAAAACTTCTTCACGTTTCAATAAAAAAAAAGTTTATTGTGTAGATTTGTAAAATAAAACAAAATTTGCTCCAACTAAGAAAACCATGATTACATTTAACAATACACATAATAAGAAATATGAATAACCGTAGTTTTTCCCAGAGATAATACAATTCTTTAGTTTTCTATATGAAGAGAGAAGTATCTTCAAAATGAAAGGAACAAAATAACTGCCATGAAAGGAAAATAACTAGCATACTGGTATAACATAAGCATTTCTATAACTCTTTTTAATGAATGACAATTCTTTACAGTTTTTCTTGTTCCACTAATGTTTCAAGAAATTACATTTTTAAAATTAATTTGTAAAATTTACTTTTATGTACAACAAGTTATACTAAATGTTTCCCATTTGTCATGTGGTCAACAAAAAAGTAAAAATCTCCACACCTTCACCACATACACATATTGTCCACATATCACTGGCTCTGCAAAATAAAAAAACAACAAAAACCTTAACATTTACTCAAAATAATTATAAGTTATTTCCACATATCTTAAGTTTCTACTAATCTTAAAAACACCTCATAACATGCAAAATAGGTATAAGTTATTAGGTTATGCTTCAAGTTTTATTTAAACCTTTGCAAACAGCTAAAAATTAATTTCTATTTAAAACTAAAAGCTTCTTTGAATGATATATACATTTTTTTGTTTACCACTCTTGATTTATATCTACAGTTATAATATTAAGTCTTAGTTAAATAATAAAGCAGCTACAAACTGATTTAACAGATTTATTAAGAATACCTATACTTCCAAGCCTGGAGATGAGATGCATCTGGGATTGAAGTAAGTTTAGAGTGTAGCAATTCCAATGATATGGTTTTTTCTTCTCTTAGCCAATTTATTTTCCACAGATTTACTTGCTGATCAACTGCCGTTGAAACCACGTACTTTTCATTCAAAAATGATACCCCTGAATTTATATATATATAAATAAATATATGAAGTAAAAAATTTTGGGATATTTAACTTGTATACCTTAGCTTCATCTGATTAAAAACTACCATATATGTTCCTTTATCAACAAAGTTAAATGTTGCAGAATGAGAGAACTTACAATGAAATTTGAAAAAACACACAAAAGAATTGATGCAACAAAGCTTAGATTGATTAATGTAGATTTAATTAATGTTTTGGGCATCTTAGGGATCTTCTGTGGGCGAGAAAATACCTAACATATGTTCTTTTCTTTTGATGATGCTCTGTTCTCTATGATCAGGTCTTCTTTACATTTGAAGAAGGCCTCATAATAGAGACTGAAACATGGTCAAAAGATTCCTAACAAAGCATGTTTGTACTAACCTGAAATTTGAGCTGCATGTGCTGATGGGACTGAAGTGCTACTGACTATCCTAGGAACTGATCCTTGACCACCGATTACCACCTGGATAGTAAGACTACAATCATCACCTCCAGTGCACAACATCAAATAGGTTTCTAAAGAACAAAAAAGTCAAATGGATTAACATTTACTTCTTTGGACAAATATTTCTGGAAAAGAAGGTCACTACCCAATCCAAGTCATAAACTTAAGCATTTTTCTCTCCTTCCATAACACTGATAGTACAGTAATTCATTAAATTAACAATATTCTACACTTTACAAATTAAATATTTTTGAATAAGAATATTCACATTCCATTTCAAAAAGTGCCTCAGTATTAAAAAAACACAAACATGAAGACAAGATTAAATACTCTTTCCATCTTGCCTTTTCTAGATCAAACATTTGCTATTCAGGGACGTTTAAGTATATCAGATTTGTTTTTAAACCAAAAGTATACATGAAATATTCTATATATTACATCACAGTTGCATCTTAGATAACTTCTTGATGAGCAACATTTATTTGCCAAAACATAGTATTAAAGTTCTCATTAAGTGAGTTAGCTAGGAGGAGAGTAAGGAGGTAATAAAAAATCACATTTCACTCAGCTTTTTATTATTCCAATTTAACAAACATATCTTGGTTACTAAAGTCGTGATCAAGTGAGGAAGAAACAGGGAAGTTAGGAGAGGTGATAAACAATCAGTTGCATCTCAATCAGCCTCTTGATGGACAATAGTTATTTATGAAAATACAAGATTATAGTATTGAATTTCTTGGTCAAGTGGAGAAGCAAAAAGGAGGGCTACTATAAAGGCAATAAACAAGCATTCTCATAACACTCAAATTCTTGTTATTTACCAAAACATAGATGTTAAATATTGCAATTCTTGTCTAGTAAGGGCATAAGTAAAATGGTTATTGCTTAGATGATAAGTTTCATTTCACCAAGTTTCTTTATGAGAAACAATTATTTCCTGTACAATACATGGTGATGAAATTCTGAAGTGAGGAACAAGAAGTATTTTAAACTGAATTTCACTTTGATATCAATTATTCAAAAGTATACATATCAATAAAATAAGCTTCAGCTGACACTAAAATGTACACAAATTATAACAACAGATAAAATTTCACATATCAGTTTTAAACCTTGCAGAGCAAAAGATTGTCTTTCTAGAAACACTTTACTGAATGACTCTTGTACTGATAAAAATGCAATAAATGAAAGGACATGTACCCAGTGTAATGATTGATAAAACCAACCTTCTATGAACATTTTAAGGAACACTTCTGTGCCACCATAAATCTTGATTCTTAAGAGGTTACTGCCAAACACTTTCTAACAAAACATGGTAGAATAGATAAAACACCATTTAACATTAAGCTCTTAGCAAAATAGTTTCCTTGACTGTAATTTCAAAGAGTCACGATTTTTCTGTCACTTGCTCATTCAAGTTCCTTTTAATGTGCATGTGATAACATGTGAAATTACTATTGTTGAGTCAGTTTTTAATTATTGTATGTGTTCTTTTCAGTTATCAGTTTATATTTGTATGTGACACTGTAACCCTTGAGAAAGGCATAAGCTGAAACATCATGTTTAAATAAAATAATTTTTTCTGGAGTGTGATTAATCACTTTTTGCAAACAAGATAACATTTCACTTTGATATTAATTATTCAAAGTATAAACATTAATAAAATAAGCTTTTGCTAACATCTAATTGTAAAAAAAAAAACACTATAAAATTGGGTAATATTTCACTTTGGTATTAATTATTCAAAAGTATATACACCACTAAGACAAGCTTTGGCTGACATTTAAGTGTACACAAACTATAAAATCTGGTAATATTTCACTTTGATATTAGTCATTCAAAAGTATACATATCTATAAGTTAAGCTTTGGCTGACATTTAAGTGTACACAAACTATAAAAACAGATAATCTTTTAAAAGCACACATATGTAATTAGAAATTGTAAATAGTATTTACACTTTGTCCATGTGCAAATATAGATTTATTTTTCAACTGTACAAGTTTCTACAGGATAAATCTAACCTGTTATTTTGTATGTGCTGATAGCATTAATTCCAGACTGATGAAGCCTTACTGTGAGGAGGGGCTCATGTTCTTCTTCATTCAGAGAGTACAATTTCTTACTAATAATATTAATTTTTTCTCTGTCTTCTTTACTTTCCACGTTAGCCATCTTAGGTTTTTCAGAGTTTTCATTCAAAAGTCTTCTAGCAGAATCTTTAATGTTACTCAAAAATTTGTTGTTGTCCCAGATTTTGAGGCATCCATCAGTCCCAGTTGTAATTAAGCACCTAAATGGAGTTGGCATAGATACAACTCCCTGCATACAGTTGACTCCACAAGGTATTGTTTTCAAGTGAGTTATTTTCCCTTTCTTTATGCAGAAAGCAAATAACCTAGAAGAAAAATTAGAAAAATATATTTTTTGTATGATGGACGTTAATTTTGAAAACCTTTACACTTCTATAAAATTCTATTAAAAGTGTGATTTGGCCTTTGCATATGTACAATGCAAAACCTGGATGTATATGAATATTACAATGCATGCTGAAACTACACCTTGAATGCATATGAACATTACATTGCATGCTGAAACCAGGAACAATGAGCTGAATGAAGAAATCATTTTCTGAATATATATATGAATATTAAATCAAATGCTTAAGTCACTTCTTAGGACTTATATAAAAATTACATGTTAAAGTCACCTTCTGAATATACATGAATGTTATATTAGATACTAAAGTTGCCTTCTGAATGTAGGTAAATATTACATAACATTCTAAAGTCACCTTCTGAATATACATGAATGTTATATTAGATACTAAAGTTGCCTTCTGAATGTAGGTAAATATTACATAACATTCTAAAGTCACCTTCTGAATATACATGAATGTTATATTAGATACTAAAGTTGCCTTCTGAATGTAGGTAAATATTACATAACATTCTAAAGTCACCTTCTGAATATACATGAATGTTATATTAGATACTAAAGTTGCCTTCTGAATGTAGGTAAATATTACATAACATTCTAAAGTCACTTTCTGGATATAGAAAACATTGTTACATGCCTAGAAACTTTCTGGACATACATGAGAATTAGGTTACATAAATAAGTTACCTTTGGTTAAAGATGCATATATACATCATGCCAATGTCACCTTCTGATGTATATAAAAGTTGAAATAGCCTTTAACTTTTGTATTGTAAGTTCAGATTTAAAGTGAGACAGCCTTTTTAGTACAAATGTAAAATAATACAATCCAATTAAAGTATTGCAAACCCATTTGCCTACCTTAAGAAAGCATCAGAACATGATGTTGCTATCAAGGTAGTTTCAGTAGACCAGCCTTCCTTGTGGCTGCTAAAAATGGCCACACTCATGTATCGAGTTAAGGCATCAGGAATGGTTTCTACTGTCCGGTTCTGCCATGGTTTGTGATGAGGTTTGTCAACTGTCCACAAAAAATGGTGATCAAGTTCCTTACATTCTACGTCTTCTGTAGATATAAAGTAAGAAATCATTTGAATATAACCCTCATAGAAAGAGACATAATTTACATGTAAACAGACAGCAATCATAAGTATGTGTGTCTCTGTATGGGGAACTATGCAACAGTTAAATCTCACAGAACCATATACCATCTTTCCCAAGTAAACTGTTACCCTTAAAATGTAATTAGTTGTCCTCAAGTTTAAGGCATGTAGTACTGCTTAATCAGCTATACCAAAATATGTACCTTCATGACTAATTGTGAGATTCCATACAATCAGTTGTGCTCTTCCTCCAACAGACACAAGAAGGTAACTGTTAGCGACATTTGTCATGGGACATGAGGCTAGTCCTCGTATACTTGATATGTGTCCTGCTAGCCTGCAAAGCACTTCTAGATTTGCTTGACTAGTAGCTTCATTATCTTGCAAATAATGTTAAGAAATAATACTAATAACATTCATTATTTGATATATTACATTAAGAAATAATATCTTATATATATATATATACTTGGTATACAACTGTTTCTTTAATCACAGCTAATTTTATTGAATTGAGTACTTTATTACACATAAAAATAACACTAAGAAATATATGTTGTTTGAAACACCAATGCTTGTTTTGCTTTTATATTATAGTGCACCTGAATATTCTTGCATAGTTCCCCAATTTGGACTCTAGTTTCACAACACCCAATTCACGGGTCACTTGACCCCCCTGGATTTTCAAAAAGAAAAAATTACTAGATACGTAAAATTCTTCTTCTATGTTATTGGAAAATCATAAGGTATAAGAGCACAACAATTTGAGGGGTGCATATTAGGGATAAAAACTTTAAAATAAATTGAATAAAAACAAACTTCCATCCATTTCATTGCATTTTAATTTATGGGTGTTTTTATATTGGTAGATAACTTTCCTGATGAATCATTCAAGAACGGGGTCCATCTGGACTTGTGGGCCTAGAACGCGAATTAACCTTAATATGGCACTGAGTACTTGACAAGTATTCATACATTATTTATAATCCTTACATATAAAATGTTCATTTTTTCAATTTAACAGACATCATTTTATGAAAGTTACTTTTTTGTGCTTTTCTGTAGGGACAGATAACCAGTACTTTGTTTTCTGATGTCTATTCCTAAATCAGTCCATGGAATTGTGTCCTCCCCTTATTTTCCAGATTTATGCTTAAATAAATAAATTATAGATTAATTTCCCTAGGTATTTCATAATATTCATATTAGTAAATATTCATTTACTACATTTGTAAAATTTTCTGCTATACTAATATTTAAACTTCTTTTTATAAAAAATTACTTATATCTAGATGCACTTGTATCTATGATAACAGCTTTTGATAGCTGATCATAATGTGTGAAAAATTTAGGAAGTGTGTATCTTTGGATTTAAAAAAAAAGAACAATAATTAGCAGAATGAAGAAAAACTGTTGTAACACAAAAATAAATAGGTAAAATATACACTTACGTAACATTAGATAATCAATGTACAAGTTGAAGTTATCTAATGATTAGAAAAAACTTTTTTGGTGCTTTCAAAATTATCCTAAGGTTCTAAGATATGGAAATACCTTTATATTAACACTTGTTTTTACATGGAATGTAAACGTAAATTATGCAAATTTTCAATAAGTCATAACTACGTGGTGATTAAAAATCTTTAAAAGATGTCAATAGTTTTTATAAAGACAAAAAAGTTAATAAAATAAAATAAAAAAATGTGGATAATACAAGTGCCTTACACATGCCATAACAATATTATTTACAGGATAAATGTTTGTGTGCTTTCATTGTCATTTTTATTCAACTTATGCAAGAATGTGTTATTACTTTCAGTTAATGGATGTGTATTACTGCAAAAACAGATAAGTTGTGTGCTACAGCAAGACATTAAGAAACCTTTCCTGACTGAGGCTTGAACCCAGGACCCTCATCTTGCTCCAAATAAGCTTAATGCTATACTCAAGTTACTAAGCAGATCGCTCCCAATTTATATTTCAAAATTTGAACAACTAATGTATTTTAAATAATATGTCATTAATAACCACTTATAGTTAATTTGGTTAAACTATATTAATTTTAAAATAATTCTGTCAATTTAAACCTCCTGGATAGTTTTATGAACAATGAGGCCTAACATATGCTGACTGCAATTTGAAAGTTTATTACTGGGATTATGGCTAAAAAATATTTGTAACAGTAGTATTCAACTAACGATTCAATGAAATTCAGCTAAAATAAATTTAAAGTTCACAAACTTTTTTATATTGCATAAAGCACAAAACAATTAAAAAATAATTGGATTCCATAATATTTACCTATGACAAGTAAAACCACTATAATAATATAACACCAATAGCCCTACCCCTTACATTTGTGCAGTGTTTTACATTACAATTATTTTTCATTATATTTTAAACTAAAATGACTAGTTGTTTAAACTGTAATGTAGTAGTTAATTAATATGAAACTTATTGTATCTTGGTAATAAATACTACTAAAACGTTTTTACTACTGCATGTTTTAATAAGTTCTAATTGAAAGATTGAGGAGTTATTTACTAAAGATGAGAATGTGTTTTCTTCAAACTTAAGTAAAAATACATTTTCTTATTACAGTTAATTTAAAAACTTTATTGAAACTTTTTACTAATGTTTTTTTTAAATAAAACAAATTTAAATCTAACAATGCAGTTTCTTTCTGTATTGAAAATATTTTTTAATCTGATAAAAATCACAAAGAATAAAGGTTATAAGCAATATGGTTTTATTTTCTTTTAAGTTACTTTCAACTCAAACTTCAAAGCTGTTTTAGATGAGTGCTACAGAAAGCTTAAGGTATTGTGTTTGACACCTTTACACTTTTTAATCAGAAAACGTACATTGAAATCCACAACTGGATATAATTACAAATAAATGTCAATAAATATGAACAAAAAAGACATTTGGTTTTTGAAATATTCTGGAAAACTGAATTATCAGTAAGTTTTTCCTCTTAACACCTACATTATTTGAGGAACATAATCATATAAGATTGTCTCCATTGAAACATTTTGATTTTTGAAGAAACATTAAACTTTCAAAAGGATACAAGACATGCGAGATATCAATATTGTATTATCTTCACCTCCTGTAGCAATAAGATTGAAATTTTCTATAAAAAAATCACAAGAGTAGGTTAAAGTATTCATCATAGCATGAGACACACTTACAGAAAATTTAAAACAAGATTATAATTTTATGTAACTGATTATACAAAGGTTGAGTATTTTATATCAAAATTTTGGAACCTTACCATGTTGATACAGGCCTACAGAATAGTTTCTGTTGCAAAAGATTTGTCCTAAGTACTCATGGCAAAAGCACACCCACTCCTTCTTGTAGGTTAACATAATCCATCTAGTGTACGAGAACAACAGTTTCCTAGTGCCCATTTCAACAGTCTGATGACACCACAGACACTCATAGGCAATGTGCCCAGTGACTTAATCATTATGTCTTTGTATGGAATAACATGCCCCTTCATTCTCTAGCTACTTGAAGTACCTGACAGTTGAATGGAAGGTACGACTAGAAACCTTATCTTGGTTACCCTTGCCCTATTGGTCTCATTTCCAGGTGGAGATCTTTCTTGATTATATTACATACTGTTACCTTGGGCACATGGACAGATTTTGCTATTGATCTTTGTGTTTGTGGATTTTCACTTGTTATAAGATACCATGGCTGGGGTATGACTTATTGGCAGTCTTTTTATAGGTGGTTCTGGAGCTCCATATTCCTTTATTTTCCAATGCAAGTACAAGGAATATTCCTATTTTTAAAATTATAAATCCCCAACTTAAACACATCTTTATGATCTGAATGTAAGAATATTTTGCTTTGGAAGGGCTGCTACATACCCTTCTCAAAAGCTACCAATTTTCATTGGCATCACACAAAATATGAAATGGCCAACAATGTCAAAAGGTAGTTCTGATACCTTTTGTTCCATCATGACTTTATATTGGCAGTATATGTCATGTGACTTGCTTATTTGCATATTCAAAAGTGTTTGGGTATAATATACTCAATCCTCATATTTCATTTAACAATTTTACAACTGGATGAATCTTTAAATGGATTTTACTTGTTAGGTTTCATAATTTTATTTGCGTATTCAAGGAAATCTCAAGTAAAGAAAGAAAGAAGTAGGAGTAAATATGAGGTTTTATGACTGTTTTACTCACCTGTTTTAATACAAACTTGACACAGATGTAAAATACAATAAATCTGCTGTCCATGTATGCTGGTCTATTATATAAAAGAAAAACGTTATAATTCAAGCTACAAATAACACATTTATCTTCCTTTTTCTTCTACTGTGACCCCTTTCTGAAGTACAGATGAACACAAATAACAATATACTATTTTTGCAGGAAAGTAACCTCGTTATAACTTTATAATATAATCATCACATTACACCATACAAACAAGATTTAATGCAGAACAAAGTATTAAAAGCATAATTGGTTACATTTATATATTAGCTCATTACAACAGAGAAACTATACAAGATTACTCAAAAAGAATTTGAAGCAGTATAAGAATATCCCATCTTCTGAAACAAAACTTTGATTCTCTGTACATCATAGAAGTATATAATAATGAAAAATCTGTAATCAAATTTTTCCACAATAAAGGTGACAGATCATTCTAGTATGTCTATACACACAGAAAAAATCACTAACTACATATAAACAAACACATTTAAACACATAATAAATATGAAATAACTATATACAAATAAAAAATAGAGAAATGCAAAGATTTATTAAGAAAATAGAAATATATATATACTGTTGGAGCTAAATCACCATAAAAATATTTATTTTGAAGTTATATTTTCTTGATGACATTCCGATCAAATGTTCTTTTTCAAGCCAGAAATAAGCTTATCAGTTTATGACAAACTACTTGAGGATGTTTTGAAAAGACTGATAATCTATACAAGATGTTATGCAAGTTTCATTTTTGGATTTTATGAGCATCCTTTTGCCAAAAACATTTTGTTAGAAGGATAAATTTTGAAGTTGACCGTAATAAGCAGTAGACAATTTTATTTTTTCTGTTGAGCTTACAATTGTAAGTTCCCCCAGTCGAATAAACAGCAACAACTGATGTGGAAAAAAACAAAGGCAACAGTAGGCACAAAGAATGTTGCAAGGGAAAATATTCATATTAAAGACCTTTAACAATGTTAAGCTAATAGCAAAGAATGTAAAATAAAACAGCTTCTTTTGGGAACAGCAAGTATTAGAAAAGTTATACATATGTAATGTTAGTAACGAAGAATTACAACTGCCTGTCTGTTTTCTTTAATTGTTCTTCTTTATTATTGTACTTATCATTATCTTTTGACTGATGTGAGAATTTACATTTCTCATCTCAACAGGTAAAATGCTACATTATTAGATTTTCTTCATCTACAATTCAGATTTATATATAAATATACACACATATATAAAGCTTTCATAAAAATAAAAATGTTTTAAACATGGAAGATTATTTAACCAAAACAATGTAGTTACTTTATTTTTCCCAAAGGTATTTGAAATAAACATTTTTTTCAAACATAATTATTTTTTTATGTAATTTCCAAAAGTAAAAGCATGAATCTAACATTAAAACTTTTTATTAAAAATATATTTCATTCTAGCTTCAACTATGAAGATTGTACCTTAACTAAAGATGACTGTACTGTTTTCAGTAAATATGACTGATTCCATAGTATAGAGGTTTTCTTGATACAGGCAAATGCCATCTCTCCTGTCTCACTGTTAAGTTTAACATCCCATGAACGATGGCCTCCACCACAAGGTAACTCCACAAGAGGACGCTGAAGTAACGTACTCCAGGATATGAAATTTGTCTGTGGGTTATTTCAACATAAATGTTCCATCATCTCAGTGTCTAATGTTTCTCAAGTCATAATTCGTTTGAGAATCAGTTTTCTATTTAAAGATACACAGTGTATAACAATAGCATTTATGTACATTGTAGGATATGTCTATACCAATTACCACATTTATATCTCTATAACAGCACTTAAAATAAAAATTAATATTGAACAGTACATTAAATTTAAGATATTACTAGCTCAAAATATAATGAAATTATTTTTTCAGTTACTGACTCAATATATTAAGTTTTGGGACAAAAAAAAGTTCACTTTTATAAAATAGATTTTAACGATAGTAATAAAATAATATTTTGGAAAAGTCTTTTTAGAATGATATACAAAACTTTGTATCTTTTAATGTTATTTCACAATATTAAAATTAATAATAGCAAGCTTTTGTTTTCCAGTATACCTGCAAAGGTCACAGTTATTTTTCTTATTTTAAAGACCAGTAATCAATTATAAATATTATCAAACAACCCACTTTCAATTTCAAAATATATTTACCAAATTGTTTTTCTTAATAAATCAAATACCTAATAATGGATTTAGAAAAACATAATACTTTTTTGCAAGATTATTAATATAGTTAACAAATATTTGAAAATTTACAGTATGAAAACCAAACAGGATAGTATCTTCTCCAATAAACTTGAACATGCCAATCCATTCCATTTCTCCAGGAGTCTGTAAAATTAATGATTTATTTAATGTAACAAAACTTATTGCTTCATATATATATATATATATATGTGTGTGTGTGTGTGTGTGTGTATAACTGGTTGCATAACAAATGTAAAAAAAAAAGACAAAGAGGTTGATAAATTCATTTCTAGATATGTAGTTAAAAAAGTAAGGAATAGTCACAAGAAGTGTTTTATTATAGGGCAAGATGAAAGATATGTAACAAGTAATATGAAAAAGTAATGTTATTTTTTATTAAGTAATATATAAGGACTTTACTTTTTTATATTTTTGTAAAGAAACAATTTTTTTTCAGTAATATGCCCAATACTGGGTATGGTAGATATATCAAAATATATCTGAACAGAACATTAATGAAAATAACAGATACATTTAAAAGCACAAAATAAAGAACTAGAACTGATTATTTCTGTAGAAGTAATATTTACATGGTCTTAGAAAAACTGAACAAAAATGTTACAAATTTTTTATCTTTCAGTAACTTAATGTTACACTGAATAACTATATTTTCCACGCTTAGAAATAATTATAAGATTGAAGTTAGAAAAGTACAGGTACCTTAAGAGTTCGAAGTCTTGTAACAGTATTCCTGCCCAGTTTATATAGTAACACTCTTCCATCTCTTCCTGATGTATAAAGAATGTCATGTTGTACTTGAATATCAGTCACCCCATTTTTACCATGGATACAGTGGAAGGTTTTTGTTGGATTCTGTTATGGATAAATTTGCAATTAAAAGGTTAGTAACAGTAAAAGGTAATACATGGCTATAATTAATATGATAAGTTACACTCCAGTTATATTAATCAAACTATTATGAATATTAAATCAAAAATTATTAATTAAAAAACAACATTTTTATCTTCTTTTCACTTGTCACAAGTCATTTTCCAGAATATTTGTAATTTCTTACTGGAACTTTTTAGTTTGGTTTTCCAGAAACAACCAAAAATCTGAAATGCTTGTTTTTTTTTTGCTTTTTTTGTATGAAGAAATACAAACATAGTATTGCAGTGTAAAATACCTCATCATGCAAAGCAAGCCAACACAATAAAATAAAACATGTAAGGTTGAGCATGATTTTCTCCAAGTTTGTTCTCAGACATTTTACATCCTAAAATGTAGTATCCAAATTAATTCTTAATATAAACAATTCAAATGATTTATATTTGTTAATTACAGAAATAAATCCATGTAATTCCAATATACAAGTACTTTAAAGATTAGAACTTCCAAACAAAAAAATAAAGAAAGGAAGTTAAGCCTTAGCTCACTTCTTTTTAGAGACATTTTAAATAAAAGTAATAAAATGAGACATCAATGTTTCTTTTTTACTTGCACAATAATTTATTTGTAAAGTTTAAAAAAATATGAAAAGTATAAGAAACTTTAAAACTACATGTTTTGGTGGAAAATAATTCCATCTTCAGGAGAATAAATCATAAATTACACATAAAGTTTCTTATAAACCTAATGTATGTGTATAATTAGCATGTTTTTACAATGGTGCCACTTACAACAATGATTTCCAAAAGTTTACTTCTGTGGCTCTTGGGCTTAAATCTCTATTTGTAATAATTTTGTTTTTAACAATTTCTGAGGATTCTCTTATGATTAGTTCTTTTTCTGTTACCTGTTCCAGTATTTTTACATTATCCTAGCCAATAACGTGTAGAATTTTCCACATGGTCTGCCAAAGCCAATTCACCCATTTTTAATTTATCCACCGCATTTTGATGTTCTTTTACTCTAAATTTTAAGTTCCTACTTGTCTGTCCAATATAACTTTGACCACAAGTACATAAAATTTTACATATACCAAATTCATCCTTTAGTTCAATTTTATTTTTCAAACCATTAATTATATGACTTAACTTTAATGTTACTAGGCAATTCATATTTTGCCTAAACAAATTACCTATTTTTATTGACCATGGTGAAATGTGAGGCAAACATATTCTTTCTCTATTTTCCATTTTTGTTATCTTGAATTTAGTACATCCAGAAATTTAAAGTTTTTACAATATTTACTGTACATCCTATCTATGATTTGAGGTTGATATCCTATATCAATCGCTACCTGTTTTAAATATGTTAATTCTAACATCAAATCCTCATCATATGATGAAACATTAATAGCTGCATAAACAAAAGACGAAAATGAGGAAATTTTTTGTGACCATGGATGACACGATCTCACATGTGGTGGCATGGCAATTGAGAATGGCTTCCTGTATATAGAAGTAGACAGAAAGCTCTTTTGTCTTTTTACAGAAACATCTAAACAACCGTCATCTTCTAAAGTGAACTGTACAGTAGGGCTGATTGAATTCAGATGCTTCTGGAACTCAATTAACAGGTCATTACCATGCCACCGCACCATAAATGTGTCATCCACACACCTTACCCACACCTCGGGTTTTATTTCCGCTGTTTTTAGTGCACAAGTTTCATCCTCAAACATGAAAATGTCTGCTTACAAAGGTGATAAGAATGACACCATAGACAAACCTTTATTCTGTTTGAAAATGTTATTTCCTACCTTAAAATAATTATTAGTTACACACAACCTTGTTAAATTTATAATGTCATGCACTTCTAACCATGAAAAAATCTTACTAGCTAGTAATCTATTTTCAAAACAACTTAATACTTCTTCTACAGGTACATTTGTAAATAATGATACTACATCAAAAGAAACTAGTCTATCATTTTCTATTATGTGTATATTTGTAAATTTTTTAAAAATTCCAATGAATTTGTAATTATGTATGTATGTATGTATGCGAATTTGATAAAAACAAACATTTTATAACAATAAACTTAGCCACCAAATGTGTTGACGACCCTCTGTTATCTACAATAGGGCGGAATGGTACCCTGATTTTATGTACCTTAGGGAGTGCATAAAATCAAGGTAAATTAAACTGAGATGGTATTAGATTTCTTTGATCATTAGCTGTTAAAATGCTGCAGGTTTTTACAACTGTTTTTACTTTATTATGTATTACATTTGTAGGGTCTTTCTTTATTTCAATATAATAACCATAATTTAAAAGTTTTTTAATGTTATCATTATAAACACTTTTATCTAATATGACAATCTGTCCACCTTTATCTGCATTAGAAATAACAATGTTCGTATTATCTTTAATTGCACGAAGTTCGTTAACTTCATGATTATACAAGTTTTTTTAGTTTTTCCAGTATCCAAAGTTAACATTTTTACCACTATGGTTCGAACAGTATCCTTTACAATATTATCATTAACTTTAAGTTTTTCAAACTAGTTTCTACAGCCACTATTAAATCATCTTTCACTGACCTACTGTTATCTACTGAAAAATTCAAACCTAGCTCAAGAATTTTAATTTGTTCTGTTGTAATATTTTCCTTTGATATATTAATTATTTTTGGGTTGTTAACAACTTAGTGTACTTTTCATTTAGTATCATATTCTTCATTTTTAAATTATTTTTTTAAGTGTTTATCATTCTTAATTAAGTTAATCAATTTCTTACTCAAATTATTCTTATGTTTCAATCTTACCTTTTCCCACTTCCACCAACTAGATTCTTCAAACTTATCCCATACCAAACACTGTATATTCCTAGCTAATTTTAGATACACATAGTATAATTTAGCCTCAGTTTTTGCAATTTCACTCCTCTTTTCCTTGATAAAACTTCTAAGAATTTTAAACGGAGTTTGTTTTATAATAAACATTACCCTATTGCTTTTTAATTTATATTTTACTTTAATACTATTTGGCACAACAGAGTTCTTTTTACATTTCATTAACAAATTTAGTTGATTAAGTTGTCTTTTATGTAAATTTCTCAATTTTTTGAAAACTTGGCCTTCTTCTTTGTCGTCTTCCACTGTCCACTCCAATACCACGTAGTCTTTGTTGGTTGTTCCGGTCTTCTAAATGTCGTCCTTTGTAGCAGAACACAGTTACCCAAATATGAACTATGTGGCATCAAAAGACCAACTCGATATAATGGAAATCATTGTTGTAAATGGCATCATTGTAAAAACATGCTAATTATACACGTATATTAGGTTTATAAGAAACTTCATGTGTACTTTGTGATATATTCTCCTGTAGATGGTGGAATTATTTCCACCAAAACATGTAGAGTTTCTAAAGTTTCTTATACTTTTTATTTTTAAACTTTATAAATAAATTATTGTGCAAGTAAAAACATTGACATTTTGTTTTATTAATTTTATTAAAAAATGTTTGCACAAGAACTGTCTGTTTCACGTATTGAGTAGAAACATTATTTGAGTAATTAATATATGCAATCACTATAAAAATTTACAGAACTAACTCAATCCCAAATGAATTGAGATGAGAAAAACACACCTGTGAGTATCCAGTAGAGTCGGATGGGTGGTCAACCATACATGTGAGGCCAGAGTACACGTGAACACTGCCATCCCTGGATCCTACAACAAGAAGACTAAACTGAGATACATACTTGCCAGCTGATGTCCAATGTTGTTTACATCGAGGCAGAAACAGCTTGTAGAGTATCATTGGAAGAAAATCCTTTTCTATTTGTGACAAACACTGAAAACAATAAGTAACCAAAATTATCTTCCATTTAAGACAAATTTACTTACAGTTTCTAAGTACCATTATCTTCTACTTTCTAAAATCCTGATGAAGACCTCAGTATAGAAGATGAAATGCCATCCCCTTTTCATTCAACAGGCAGTTGCACTCCATTAAAGTTCTCAAACCTACCATGTCTACTCTGCCTAAAGTTTCACTTAAACAACAACATCTACTTCCAACAAACATCAATAATATTTAATCCTTTCCAGATAGGTCATGAGGCTAATTTGAACCAAGGCTGCATTCAACATACCAAGTGACACACAAAAATTGATGTTTCGATGTGTTTTTTTAATATTTACTTTTAAAGTAAGAGATTAACTAATGTATAATATAAAAATTTGAATTATAATCTACAGTTTGGTACCAAACTTAATGACATAAATTCACAAATTAGTAGTTCAATAAAATTTTGAATTTGAGTCAACAAATGCGATGACATGGCCTTTGATGTTTGTGATGTCAAAATACTATGTCTGTAGTTTTGTATGAAATAGGAACTCAAATTACCAATATTAACAAGCTAAAATATAAAATAAGAACCTCCTATCTTTTCTATTTGCTGAGATATCGCTCATGTACTGAATCAAACACAATGGCTCTACTCACCTCTTTCATTTTTGGAAATGGTCCCTTATATAAACTTACTTTTATATATGAAATGTGAATAACCAATTGAAAGCTCATAATGTCCCCCTAGTGGCTTTCTCAGCCATTTTCAAGTATAATGGCATCATATCTTTCTTTCAAGACAAACCTTCATGCTGATAAGTTGAGTCTTTAGCCTGTTCGAAATTTCATATTTTTTTAGACCCAAATACAGCTTAGTTACTAAACTTGATAAATTATAATGGAATTCTATGGTATCGATATAGTAATTTATAATTTTTGGGTTATTCAAATGTATATATAAAACCTAAAAACCTATTTCATTTTGCATCCTCGATGTGCAAAATTCCTTAAGGCTTAATAAGCTACGACAAGCAGCAATTGAGTACAAAGGTCATAACTAGAAGAGATAATTGTTTGCTGTATATTTTTATTCACTGTTTTATGTTTTAAAAAATATAAGTTTAAGATCTTGTTTGTAATAATTGAAATATGATAATTGATAATATAAAATATGATAATATAATAATTGAAATATGACTGTATTTTACAAAATACTAGTCCACTAAAACACAGCCAAGACAGGTAACTTTGTAAAGACTAAAGGTCAGTTTTTTTTATTGGATATAGTAACACGAGCCAGGCACAGCTGAAAGGCCAATATAATAAAAATAATAAATAAATATAAATGTATAATGTTATGAGATTTAAGCTATTTAGTCTAAACATTTATATTTTTGAGTTATAATCTGTAGTCATTCTAGAACAAAAAAGACAAAATTTATATATATTTCCTAATTTTTTTATGGTGGTTATGAGATTGGTCAAATCGACCAAAACTGTATAGAGATTCATTAGAAATAACAGATAAAATATAAAGTTTCTCTTAAGAAACCTTTGATAACTATCTGGACATTATAAGAATTCCTCATGTGAACTTTGAATATTTTCTGATGCATAAAAGTATTTTTAATCTTGAAATGAAAATTACTTTGCATGTTGTATAGGCAACATATGAAAAGAAAAAAGGCATGAGAAAAACAATGCTTAACAAACTTTAAGACTTAATAAAAAAATTGATATTTTGTGTATGAAAGCATTGTAATGTTTACTGATAATCTGCCAAATTTTGTCAACATATGCTTACTAACTTAAAAGTTATAGCACGGAAACTATAACAGTAAAAAATGGTTACGAGGTCGGTTATCTATCTGAACATTATAAGGATTCCTCATGTGAACTTTGAAAATTTTCTGATGCATAAAAGTATTTTTAATCTTGAAATGACATTTACTTTGCATGTTGGATAGGCAACATGTGAAAAGAAAAAATGCATGAGAAAAACAATGCTTAACAAACCTTAAGACTTAATAAAAAAAATCTGATATTTTGTGTATGAAAGCATTGTAATGTTTACTGATAATCTGCCAAATTTCGTCAACATATGCTTACTAATTTAAAAGTTATAGCATGAAAACTATAACAAGCAAAAAATGGTTAAGAGGTCGGTCACAGGGACCGAACCCGTGCTGAAAGAGTTAACTAAATTCATTATTTTATATTTGTGGGAAATATTAACAGCTGACAACTACAATTATCTTCTCACTGGGATAAAGTTACAGGAAGTAAAATATAAAAGGAAAATTAGTACCTTTATCTTTTACTTGTAATAGTTACAATTACTAATATCAAACCTTAATCTACTATAATAATTAGTGAAATTTCATATAAAACCTCTAAAATTATTATTATCTCAAAAGTAACTCACCAGCTGTCCACTAGGGCCACATGTCAGTATTAACCTTGGTGTTTCAGATACCCATAAGACACTGTGCACCTTCCCATCATGCAGCTGAAGCTCTTTTTTTAAGGATAGCCTGTCTTCATCTTTTAGAAAACGTTATTAAAACAGGAACAAGGAAATGTCTATTAATATAATATCAGCATTTCACCCCTACCCAGTGAACAATAATCTTTTGTTACATTCTGAAATCCTTTTACTATAAACCAAAGAGCAAATTTTTCCAGAAAAACAAAATGTATTATTTTGAAAGAAGTAAATGAGAGGGAAGAAGCAGTTCTCTTACACAACATAAACAAAAACTAATTATGTTGATTACAATGTAAACAAACACTCCCTCATTAAAAAAAGAAAGAACTACAAGATTAATAGAAAATTGTGTGTATATGATAAAAACAATTTTGCCTCTCTGCAAAAACTGGCACAAAAATTTACTTCATACATGTAGTATTTAAATAGTGTTTTTACTTCAAAGATCCTTACTAGAATCCCCAGAGAGAGAAAAGCATGAAATAGTAAAAAAAAACAAAAATCAATGAATGAAGTAGTCATTATAAGTATAAACTATTCAAAATAAAATTTGTATTGATATCACTATTCCAAGATTCACTGGGAAAGGACACACAGTATTAAAGTTTCCTTCACTTTTGCATGAAGAAGGGTGATTCTAACATGGGAAATGTTCAACAGCAGCTGCAAGAATTGCTTCTTTACACAATTTGATTTGTATATTTTTACATTCATGCCTTAGCTGGACATAAAAGCGTGAGTTCTTACACTGCACATGATACAATTAACTATTGTATGAAGAAGTTCTTTGCTCTCTCTGTCAGTTTTTCTCACATATCTGATTAAATACTGTCTAGACAGTTAGCTGATGTTGGTGAGATCAGTTGTAGGCTAGCCAGGACTGTGAACTGTTTATACTACAGTATTCCAGCTCTTCATCAGAAGATGTGTGTGTGTGTGTGTGTGTGTGTGTGTACTGATTATCAAACAATTACCAGTGTTTAACATAAAAGTAGATGATTCTGGTCATTCTAAGCCATCAACTACAAAAGGCTATCATATTTTAAGACATATTTCATTCTTAAAAGTGAAATGTAAAAAGAAAATTAAATTCAAAAAATGTTGAATGGGTTTTATAAACAACAGTGAATATTTTTATATAAGTTAATCATCTTTAGTTTTTTTCTTCTGTTGACCAAATAGGTTAATTTGTAAAGAAAACACATACATGAAGTATGAATCCAAGAAACATTTTGTATTATTTAGATCTCATCTCAAATGCTCTTAAAAGAATATATATACTTACCTGAACAAGAAAATATTAAACATTTTCCAGTTATATTTCCCCACCCGACCCAGAAACCACAAGATGAAACAGCTAAAGAGCTGTAAGACCTGAAGGATATTTCTTGATGAATTACATCCCATTGGTCAGTATTAGGGCAATATGTACAAAGGACTCTGAAAGTTGTAATTCAAAAAAAATTACAAATATTGTTTTCTTGTCTTTTAATAGCATAAAAATGTTAATTTTGAGAATTACAGGTGAGCTTTTACCTAACAATATTCTAACTACTCATGGCTAAGTGTTTTTAAAATTTAAAAAACAAATTATCTTAATACATAAACTCTTTCAACTCTTGAATCAAGAATTTCACACAAAACATTAGAAAACATAATCATTGACAAAAAAAAAATTTTAAAAAACAACAACAAAGTTACAGAAATGTGGAAATCTCACCCAGCATCTGTGCTAACAAGTATAGAATGTTTCTGCATAGAGGAAATCAATGCTACATTTCGAGGAAAGTCATCATATCCTTTCTGAAAATAACAAAAATAATATTTACCAAGAATATTTCTTTATACAGTCATAAAAAAATTCCTTCAATCCACTTTCAAGGAAATCTTTATAATAACCTAACTGTGAACATCTGTTTATCACTCTCAAAATTCTGAATATATTCTTATACCTATTGCACAAAAGGATATTTTTTCAGTTTTAATGTTTAAAAGTTTATTAAATATATTGTACTGTTTGAAAAAAAAATGCATTTTAAGTAAGTACTTACTTCTTGTATCAGATAGTGCTACATCCTATTACCAAGGTTCATAATTAAATTGAAAAGACTCCACAGTCTTTTTATACAAAAACATGTACTGGCAATTCTTTGGGAAATGTGCATTGCAAGGACATCACTACCATTGTATTGATTACTAGTTAATATGGATCTTCCACACAGCTTATCCAAAAAATTCATAGCTAACTTAGCTAAAAATCTCATAACAACAACAAATGAGTTTGCCAGCACAATGATGTACATAAGGTGTAGAGAAATGGCCAATGATTAAAAAGAAAAATTCCTGATTAAAACGTTTTATTTCAAAAATTCAGCATTCAAATAACATTTTTATTGCAAGTTACCTTAAGCTAGAACCCCCAAATAGAGAAGTGCATGAATGCAAAAAAAAAACAATGGAAAAAGCAAAACAATGAATGAAACAGTCATTATAAGCACAAAGTATCCAAAATAAAATTTGTATTAGTATCACTGTTTCAACTTTCCGAGAGAAAGGATATACAGTAAGTTTCCGTCAGGTTCACATAAATTAGGGTGATTCCAGCATGGGAAATGTTCAACAACAACTGCATGAATTTCTCTTTTTTACAGTCAAAGTTAGATGGAACTTTTCCCTTTGAATTACCTAGTAGACATGTACATTAGGACAGTCACCATAAAGCTATCCAATGAAAGCTCACATTCCCTGTTAGCTTAATTAAAGAGCATGAAGAAAAAGAAAGAGAGAGAGAACATAAATGACACAAGTTTGGTATTTTCAGGTAAAACTGATTTCTCTAAAGAGTGAATCAGATTGGTCAGCTACATATGATGAGAGATTTGGCACAATATTTTAGGAAATAATTCTGAATTTCTCTGAAACTGACCATGTTTTAGAAAGAAAAAGATGGGACATAAATTTACAAAAACACATATTTATTTAATTAATTAGCTACAAGTTAAACATAAGCAGAATATGTTACTACTTAAAATTAAAGAAATAAATTAAACTCGCCAAACTGAAGTCTCGAGCTTGAAAGAGGGAGAACTAACTAAGAGATCATAGTGTTATATACCAAATTCTATATTAATGTCCCTCTCAAGAAGCAAGTGCCACCAATGTCACTGTTGGTCAATCTTATTCAAACATGATGAAGGTTGTAACCTCAAGATATTACCTGATCTACCAATGAAAGCCACTGCATTTGAGCTACATAAACAAGGTGCAGCTCTACAGCTATACCACCCATGTGCAGACCAGGTGTTACCTCCAAGGAATAATGAAAAATACAGGTTGCTAGAACAATAGCAACTTAATGACTTTCTGTGAAAATCAAATATACTTAAAATGAGAAATGTTGAAAAATTCTACATAAAAATATGAAGGTAGAAAAAACATATTATGCTGGATACCACACTTTTCATCCCCCCACTTTTTTTTCCAGCCTTGTTCTCAAAGCTGATAACTAATTTTAACTTTTTACATGTGCATGAATCAAGAAGTTCTATAACTTTCTGTTGTTCCTGTAAATACAAACACAACCTTTTAACAAAGAAATACGATACAAAAAAACCTTTTAACATAGGATTATTGGTAATAGTTATATTGCTTAAATATCTTTTAACATAGAATGAATACATAAAAACCCTTTAATCAATAAATTTGATAATACAAAATAGCAGTGCACCAATGAGCAAAATCACCAACACAAAACGAATCTTTACAAAACATAGATATACATATTGACATAGGTTTGTTAAACGAAAATTACATAGAAATAATCTTTAACATTGATAATTGATACAATTTCACATTATAAGTTAAAATGTCCCTGAAAAAAAAGATTGTCAATATATTTCAAAATCACTTACATAAAATATCCCTTTTCACACTAAGCACAAATTAAAAGAAACAAACAAAAGGAGAATTCATATCATACTAAAATCATCAGCATATAATGCACTCTTTAACTAAATAAATACACATATTGATTAAACCCTTCAAAATATAAATGAAAACACAAAATCAGACCCTTTAAACACAGAAATAATTTATTTCACGTTGCTTAAACATAGCATAAGATTTACTATTTAGACCACTGTGGTTGTTGGCATGGTCAAAACTCCAGAGAAGGCAGTCACTTTTCAGTGACCTGCCCTGTTCTAACCCTCCCATAATCTGGTCAACCCACAAGAGGATCAAAGCTCTGAAAGGTTTTTTTGAGTTTAGGAATGTAATGTTTCCACTGGAAGTACATGAAAATTTGGCATTATTGATGTATGAGCACAATGTACCTTTCAATGAGGAATTTCAGGAGCAAGTCTTGGTGTTTTATTGGCAACTAGGCTGAATCTACTTGCATGGGAGTCAGCGCTGATGGAATTAGATGACAATATATGTTTAAAATCCACAGGATATACTGCGGCCAATGGGAGTTGCTGGCCCCACAAGACAGTAGGATTAGCCCAATGACAAATGAAATGAGCCTTCCTTTATTCGATGCATCAGCAAGCAATGCATCTTTATCCACAAGCTCAGCCATAGTGAATGGCAAGCCGGCACCAGCAGTCCTGGAGATGGTCACATATTACATTCCTACAATGAGAGGAAGTCTCATCAAAATGGTTTGGAGTGATTCTGAAACATCAGGTATGGTTGGCAACAAAGTAGAATTACTTATCGCTGGCTAGTTGATGATAGAGATAGCCAGAGAAGTCAAGAATTCAATCTTAAGTAGGAAAAGTCTGATTTTAAACATAAGAAAGAGTGAATTCTATTCCATCAGAGGATTAACCAGATGTTTAAGTTGTAAAATGGTTGTAACTGAACAGTTACAGCCATGTCCTGCTCTAAAATAACTTTTAGAGAGAGTGTGTTAAAACTATTTCTATGAGCTTCATGCATATTCACATCCTATGTCACCTGTAGAAAATGCATCCCTAATACTTGTGAACTTCTCAACCTCCCAGACTTCAAAAACTAAGAGTGAATAGCAAAAGAATGCCTACTTAGAAACAACTATTAGTTCATCAATGTATTTAACTACAGACTGAAACCAGTATGTAATATAGAAAACATACAGTAAGTGATCAAATTTGACTTTACCATTTCTCATACTTAAAAAAAACCCACAAAAGTAGACAAAAGAAAAAGTTAGAAAAGTCTGCAGCATAGATTGTTCAAATGTGTCATTGTAATTTGGAGCTCTCAATTACATAAAAAAGTCATAAAAAGCAGATAAATTATATCACAAAACAAACAGGTGTTACCAAAGCAAACCTAATAGCTGGCATTCACAAAAATCCTGGATGGAGTAACAGGAATATTTCTTGATGCAAAAAACCAAATCAGCCACACGTATGTAGGAGCTGGTTAAATGTATAGACAAAAGACTGTATCATACTATGCAAGTCACTGCTGAGATATGTTTAATCACAAAATGAATCCAAAGCAGAAAATAAAAAAAACTTAAAAATATCTTCACAGCCAGACAGAAAGGATCCAACTGATCCTGTAAGAAGGTTTGGCACCTAAGTCAAAGAATAATTCTAGATAAACTATATGGAAAGTCATGGTTAGCTATTGAAACTAACAATAATGGAAGTGGCATTGTTACAATTTAGATTATCTCCTGGGGTGCCAAAATTAACTCTGCAAATGAGTTTTATGTGAGAAAAGGTTTAGAATTTTTCATTTTTATTATGAGCCATAGATATGCAATCTGCTATAAAAAATATGCAAAGCAGTATACTAAAAGAAGTAAAACTGTGTTTAAAATAAATGTTTTTACTAATCTTCAATCACGTCAGTATTACAGTATGTGGAAGAATTCTTAACACAAGTCTAACAGTAGGGTATTGGATGTCCTGTTAAAATGTCAGTTACAACACATTGCTTTACTCATTTGTCTTTAACAAAGATAAGATCACAATTTAAGTTAAAAGTTTCATTTATTAAAATGTTTTCTCTTTATTTTCATGTTCAAATATACCTAAGAAAACTCAGTAAGCACAATTAAAAAGAAACCACCTGAATTTTCCCTAGTGTGAGAAATGTGAACATTTTTTCTCTAGGCATCCACTCTTCTCTAACTTGTTCACCACCCCTCCAAAAAGTACATAATTTAACGTAAATTACTCACTATAATATTGTAACCATTCAGACAAAGCATAATTTTCCTTGCTTTCAATCTTGTTTGGTTACAGAGTCATCAAATAGAAAATCAGGCCCCTCTTGTCACATCCTCTTTTTCAGGATTTGTTAATAGTTCTTAGTTTTATACTACATTATTTACAACCAATAGAAAGCCAAAGTTTTCATCTATCAAATGACATATTATATTACATTGTTTCCTAAACATAGAATTGTCAATTCCTCTTTTAATACAAGCTTTGTTCCCATGGAAAACAAATCGACTAGCTTGGATAAATTTGTAACGGCTCTTGTCGCTCTATGTTCTTTGGTGCATTACTTAATTAAATAAAAACTATTTAGTGCACTACTACCATTAGTATAAAAAAAGTAGGATTAAGTGTCATAGATAGTTGAAAGCAAAAAAAAAAAAAAAAGGCCGAGATAAGAACTTTATTTCTTGTTTTTTATGTGTATTCTCTATTTATTATTATTAAAGTAACTAAAATGTAAAATTTGGAATCTTTTTAGGTCAGTTAAGGTTAGATTAGGTAAAATAAATAATAATAACCTAATAAAAAATGTTCACGAGGAACTTACATGAGCAACTCAGAGTAGCTTATGGATAATGTAATTCACATCTTATAATGGTGCAAATAGTAGTTACATATTGTTCAAAGGGCAATAAAATAATAAATTTTAAGTTTAAATAGATGTATACTGTTTCAAGTTTAAAGCTACTTAAGATAAATAAATGTAGTTTCATGTTACAATTTGAAGTCGTTTTAGAAAGAAAAATGGGTAATTTAGATTTATTTTGATTTTCTTTTGATGGTTACAAGGTTGGTCAAATTT